CAACTCCTACCCATACTGGGAGAAGGAGGAGGAGGAGGAGACTGGATTTATACCCCGCCCTTCACTCGGAGTCTCAGAGCGGCTGACAATCTCCTTTCCCCTCCCCTCCCCACAACAGGCACCCTGCGAGGTAGGTGGGGCTGACTGAGAGAACTCTTCTGAGTACTGCTCTTGAGAGAGCTTGTGACTGACCCAAGGTCCCGCCAGCAGCTGCATGTGGAGGAGAACTGGGGAATCAAACCTGGTTCTCCCAGATGAGAGTCCGCCACTCTTAACCATGACACCAGACTGGGGAGAACAGGACTTGCCCTTGCCAGCTTGAGATCACGGCTGTCTTGCTGAAGCTTGGGCTACCCTCACCTTGACAAGAAAGAGGCCAGGCACTGCCACAATGTTGTTTGCCTCGCCACTGGGACACTCTGGCAGATGCCTTACTGAGACCTAAATGACCCCCCCCCCAGTTTTCACTGGCACCTGGTCTTCAAAAGATTCTCCTGCCTTACTGTTTTGAACTGGCTGTTTTCACAGCCAACGTTTGGTTTTGTGTGCAGGAGCCCACCGGGGCCATCCCTCGCCAGGCACTGGAGCGTTTGGGGCCTCTGGCGCCTCTCCTGACCCGTCTTCCCCCTTCCCCAACCCCCCACAGTCCTGCGAGAGGCCAGCCAACCAGTTCCCCGGGGCTCCTGGGAGGCCTCTGGGGCCAGACCTACCCGTCTTTCAGCTTCACTGGAGCGGTGCTGCGGGGGCCCCAGAGCAGTGGTAGTGGACGTTCAGCCACTTGCCATCCCGGCGGTGCCAGACACGAGTCTCCTCCGATTGCGTGGTGCGAGGCCGGCCTTGGCCGTCGATGTACTGCGTCAGGCGGATGTAGGCAATACAGGCCGCGTCATCGCCGATCACGTGGACGTGGGGGTTCAAGATGGTGGTGTGGATCGGCTTGCTGTTCTTGGACAGTACTGAGGAGACACGCAAATCGGTCAGGGTCTTGCCTCCTCACCGAGAGGCAGCCCTGTACAGCCATCCCTGCTGGAACACCCGTCTCCTCCTCGCTCTGGGCTGTCAAAATCCTCGGGAGCCTTTCGACTCTGTGGCCATCTCCTGTCTTCAGGAAGCAAACACACTCAGCGGCGTCCTCCTGCCCCAACCAGTAAGGCCGGCACTTCTACTCCGCTCTGCTGTGAGCCTAAACATTGATCAGAGCAGACCAGAGGCGGCACCAGGGCACTCCGGAGCCTTCCCCCTGCGGCCCTGGGGCCGTCTCAGGGCTCCCCACTGAGTCAGGGCCTGTCAAAACTGAAAAGATGGCCTGGGAGCAGGGGCCACTCCCTGCGGGAGCGCACACTCCGGCAGTAAAGAGCCCAGGGGGCGGGCACATGCAACAAGCCCCACCCCCTGCTCCCAGCAGCCCTCAGTCGGGCCACGAGGAGCAAGAAGCAGCCAGGTAAGTTGCAGACCCCCCACCCCCGCCCCGCCCCAGGCACAAACATTCCCTCCTCTATTGTCCTATGTATGATGTAGAGAGACAGCAGCTGTTGATACCCCTTCTTTCACGGTTTAAACCCTTGGCTAACTACCTTACATATGCCGAGGAATGTTTGATGAAGTTCTTACTGGCCGATAATTACGATTCTGTCTCACGCAATGCTGCTAAATATTGTTACTTGGTAATTAGAAAACGCAGAATGTACCGAAACTTGAGCCATTAATGATGGTATTGACTGGTTTGACATTTTAGGAAATATGGTTGTAAGGAGCCTATGTCGTAGACTCTGTTGTACTACTTCAGTTTACTGTGCTGGTCTTATGACTGTTTTTAATAAATGTTGTTGTAAGCTCTCCCTCCTCTGCCAGGACAGATCTGCGCGTCCCCCCCCCCCAGCTAGCAATCCAAAACAGTCCAGTGGCGCCTGAGCGGGGGGGGGTTGCCTTCAGACACACTTCCGGTGATGTCAGGGGGTGTGGTCTATGCAAATGAGTTATGCTAATGAGCTCCTGCACCTCTTTTTGTACAAAACGACCCCTGCCTGGGAGGGCTGGCCAGCACAGCCGCTTTTGTTCTGCTCTGGACTCGGAAGATCTCACTGCGGCACAAGTCAAGTTTTCCCCAAGTCCCACCACCAGGAGGCAGACAGAGCGAAGCGATACATGAGTGTTGCCCACCACTCACAGTTTTCAAAGTAGAACTTGTGGAAGTCCATCCCCTCCACAAGGTTCCCCAGGGCTTCCGGTTCGAAAGAGGTCAGTCCCGGGTCACAGATTTTCCTGTAACAAAGGAAGCTCTCCTGTTAGCCCCGCCTTGGGTCCCCCAAGTCCCTCCGGCCGATGCCTGCGGGCCACACGGGCTACCGGTTTGCTTTCTGCACCTGTCGAATCGAGGGTTTCCTAGAGAAATCCCCACGAGCCAGGAAAAGAAAGCTGAGCCTCCCCGCGACGACGAAACGTGCGACAAGACCCAGCGCATCTTCCAAGAGGCAACTTTCACAGACAGACTTTGAACAACGCTGTCCCAATCTGAACCAGACTTTCTACAGAAATGCAGTATTGGCACCTCCATTTTAGATTCAACCTAGTTTAATTTAATCCCAGCTAATTTTGGAGATAAAGGTTCCCTTGCTCGAAAGCCAGTCGAATCCGACTCTAGGGTTGCGGTGCTCATCTCCGTTTCCAAGCCGAAGAGCCAGCGCTGTTCGAAGATGTTTCCGTGGTCATGTGGCCGGCATGACTAAACACCGAGGCGCACGGAACGCTGTTTCCTTCCCACCAAAGTGGTACCTATTTATCTACTTGCAATTTCTTGCTTTCGAACTGCTAGGTTGGCAGGAGAATTTTGGAGATATCAACATATAAAACCACAAAATTGATTTTGATGTATACATCTTTCTTCTAATTGTCATTTTTAAAGCGACTGGTCACTTGGGAAATCACACCCACTACAAAGCCGGGCTTCCTGAAGGAGGGCGAGAGCGAGCGTGTCGGAGAAGGCGTCACCTGCCCCGCCTGCCTCCCATCATCCCCACCAAAGAAGGAATCCACAGCGGACCAGCGTCAAGAAGGCTGGATGGGGCCAGGCCCCCTTGAGGGTACGCCAGGCCCCCCTCCCTGCATTTTCAGCTTTGGTGTCTTCCCCCCCCCTTTAAAGGGCAAACACAAGAAGTTGGGCAATCTCTCAGACATTAAACTACAGAGATAGGAGGAGAAATGTGCAGGAAGAATTCTAACATTATGTAAAAAGGTAAAGGTTTCCCTTGCTCGAAAGCCAGTTGAGTCCGACTCTAGGGTTGCGGTGCTCATCTCCGTTTCAAAGCCGAAGAGCCAGCGCTGTCCGAAGACGTTTCCGTAGTCATGTGGCCGGCATGACTAAACACCAAGGCACACGGAATGCTGTTACCTTCCCACCAAAGTGGTACCTATTTATCTACTTGCAATGTCTTGCTTTCAAACTGCTAGGTTGGCAGGAGCTGGAACTAGAGACGGGAGCTCACTCCATCATGCGGCACACTCGGATCTCGAACTGCTGAACTACCGACCTTCCACAGCCTGCAGTCCAGCGTCTTAACCCCTTGAGCCACCACAGCTCCTAACATTATGTAGCTACTCCGTTAAATCGCTCCAAAACTATCAGTATGCCACGTTTTGCTCTTTCTCACCGAGCCGTGCGTGATGACCCTTCCTTACCACAAAGGTGCCAGCTATGGGTTGTAGGCCCAACACCCGTCGGTCCAGTTCACCAAAGCGCTTTGGGGAGTCACCAACTTACGTGTAAGCCTCAAAGTCTCCGTTATTGATCGCTTCAATCAGCTGCTCCGTTATCTTGATGATCTCTTGCTTGCGCACTGAAGACCAGAAAGAAGGGGGGGGGGGGCTTTACGCCAGGCTCGTCCAACATCAGCGCAGAACAAATGAGACACCCCCCCTTCCCCCCTCCCTGAAGATCAGCAGATCAAATCATGAACTTGGTTCCTAGTGGAGCAACCCCCCCCCC